TCTCTCTCTCTCTCTCTCTCACAAAATGGGTTGCTGTTGTGACGAAGAAGACGATGACATCCTCAAGCACCTAAATCCCTCCATTTCCACCCAAACCCTAACCCTAGATCCATGCTCGTCTTCGACCTCCTTCTCCGGCGATTGCAGCGACGTCATATCTCCGATGAACTCTCACTTCTCGGCCCTGACTTGCCGCGACACTCTCCGAGCCATCTTCGAGAAGCTTCCGGTTCCCGACCTGGCTCGCGCCAGCTGCGTCTGCCGAGTCTGGAACTCGGTCGCCTCAGACAAGGAAATCCTCTCCAGAGCCTTCAGAGCGCCATGGAAATTGAAGCGCGTCGTCGGAGATCCCGTCTCCGGAAGCTTCTGGAGGGACAACGGTCTTGGGAAGTTCGCGATTTCGCATCGGATCGTGCGCGGCGATAGTGTCGCTAGTCTCGCCGTCAAGTACTCTGTTCAGGTAAGCCACTGAAACCTGTTTGATTCCCGAGAAAAAGCAAAAAAAAAAAAAAAAATCTTGGAATTTGGAATCCGGTTTGCATGCTGTGAGGAATCAGGTAATAAAGAGAATTTGATTGAATGCCAACTAATTCATTGTTTCGAGCTTTTTTTTTGTTTTGAATAAAAAATATGAGTAAATCTGAATTCAGCTCACTCCGTACAAAATGCAATAAAAAACATATAGCCACGAAAATATATGCCAGCAGAGGGATCAGGATTTGTACAGAAAGAATGTGTATTATGTAATTATTGCTAGGAAAAAAAAGGATAGAATTGCAGAATTCTAATTAAATTTCTTTCAGTACTACTGTTGAATTGTGAAAGATGATATTACTACAAACATTTTCAAGGAGAAGCACATGAATAAGAAGAGCACAGTTATTTACATTTGGTTATAATAGTATCGAACGAACTAATTGGGAAGAAACTGTTGTAAAGGAATTCATCTCTGTGCTAATGATTTCAACTCTGAAATTTCAGTTAGACATAAGATTTGGTTTTTAACTCAATTTCACGCATGGGTTTCTAGTAGACTAGTATCTGGCAGTTGGCATACTCAATTCTCTATTATTATTGAATATTTGTTCCACTATCTTGAATTTTGGGTGCAGCATTATGTTGATCTTCGTCTTTCCTTGTGATCAGGTTATGGACATAAAGCGATTGAACAATATGATGAGTGAGCACGGGATATACTCAAGGGAGAGATTGTTGATTCCCTTAAGTGATCAAAATGTTCTCATAGGACGAACCTGCTACGTGGAGCTTGATGCATATGCGAGAAGGGAAGTCGCAGTGTTGTACTTGGATGGTGCCGGCCCTGACCGAAAGGCTGAGTCAGCGTCTTTGTTGCAGAGGACGACCTCCTTGCAAGCCAGGAAAAGGGTTATTCATTCCCTGAGGAGAAGCATGCAAGTCGATGACGGGACTGCTGAGTACTACTTGTCCATTTCCAATGGCGATCCCCGAGCTGCATTCTCAGAGTTCTCAGGGGATCTTAGGTGGGAAAGGGAGGTGGGTTTGAGTTGAAGCTTTATTGTGGGTGGAGGAAGGCCAGATAAAGGGCGACCCATTGCAACCTGAAATTGAAAATGATTTCTTTGAAGCTGCCAAGTTTGTGAATCCTCTATACAAGGATCACTAATGTGAGTATATATAAACTTGTTGTCCATGGAATGTAATTGTTGTCTTAATATGCTTCTTTGCAAATCGTTGTAAACAAAACCAAACTTGCAATTTGTAATCAAGATATCCTTTCATTGAGTGGGAAGCACAATCGTTTATCTAATCTAATTAGTTCTTGGAGAATGTTGGTCATTGGTTTATGATTTTATGCTTGGTATTTGGAGTCTTTTCCGCAGGGCAGCAACGCTTGCGATCTGGCCTTCCTCTGCGTGTCTTTTAAATATGTGTGAACAGTTCTATTTCACCCAATGTCATCATTTTCTTTAACAAAGCAATAGCAGTCAGTATATATGTATATAGACGAGTATTCAATGGTTATGCTGAAGTGGATTATATAAATGGGGCAAAAAGTTATCATTTATCGCAGGTTACATTATCTGCATTGGTGTGGAACTTTAGATTGGAAAAGGAGCCTCACATCTAGCAAGATGCCCAGCAATATGTGGTGAGAATCTTGCTGCAAAACGAGCAGCAAAATCCCCCATAACCGCGCCAAACTAATCACACGCAACTGCTCCCACTCTGAAAGAGTATACATTCAGTCTAACAGCGGCATCAATACAAGTTTAAACATATGTGAAGAACAATGTTAATAGGGTACGATGGTGCCGACCACTTACAGGGGAAAGTCCCGTAATTAAGAGATCCATATGTTGGGTCCATCTTCTATTAGTACACCGGTAGTAACCTTAAGTATTTTTCATAGTTGGAGGGGGGATCCAACCTCGGCTAAGTCATAATTAAGTTTGTAACTGCAGGATATTCTAGCTCAATTATGAACTGTTGAAATGTCAGAGTAAAATGTTGGCTACGTACTATGAAGTTCTGAGGACTGCGACGTTTTGTGAACCATCTCCTATAATCGTGCCCTTTATTTCATACAATAAATGGTATTGCTTTCCTGGACACTCTTGATTTTTTTTTATAAGAGCATGTTACTGAAAAAATTGTGGTAAATTGAGCTTGTGCTCAGATACACTAAAACGACACCTTACAATTTACAAAGAAAACAAAATCTCATTTTTCGCTTAAGAGAAGCAAACAGAAAATACCAATATAAGAAACATATGGGGCGCGTTTAGAAGTCGTTCTAAAATGATTTTATTTTCTGTATGAAAATAGAAATGAAAATGTTTTCATTTTCAGGCATGAATCATTTTTGAAAATGCGTTTAGTAGTTTTATTCATAAATTGTTTTCAGTTTAAAAAAAATTAAAACTGCATTTGGTGGTTTCATTTTTGAAAACATGTAATAATATTTAAAATAATAATATATTAAATTCCTCCTCAGTTTGTCCCCTTTCAAACACCAATTTATTGTCGTTTCTTCAATTAAAAAAGACTATTGAAAACATTATTATTGTCGTTTCATCAATTAATATCCTCTGACGACATTTAACGGCAAGAAGCCGCCCGTCGACGCCTCGAGCTCTCTCTCTCGCTCATCAATTGTCCTGAAATGATCTTAATCTCCTTCATAGCCCAGCCATAGAGAACTTCAGTAATCGCTGCAAACTTTTGCGAAGTCTAGTGATAGGTGGGACCACGCCGTTTGCAGAAGATGATCTCCAACTTGCGATCCCCAGAAGCAGCGGCTGGGGATCTCCTTCATGGCTGCAGCTCATGATCTCCTTCAGGGGAGACTAACGTTCACACTTCACGAAGTGAGATCTGAGAAAGTACAAGGAGGAACGAGAGAGAGAGAGAGAGAGAGAGAGAGAGAGAGACTTGTTTCTGAAAAGTGCGGGGAGTTGTTTCAGAAAGACTGAGATGAGGGAAAATGCAAATGGGAAAGAAAAACGATTATAGATAGTTTTTCTTTCTGCTTATTTTTTTGGGAACAATTTGAAACCGCGTGGACCACGCCGTTTGCAGAAGATGATCTCCAACTTGCGATCCCCAGAAGTAGCGGCTGGGGATCTCCTTCATGGCTGCAGCTCATGATCTCCTTCAGGGGAGACTAACGTTCACACTTCACGAAGTGAGATCTGAGAAAGTACAAGGAGGAACGAGAGAGAGAGAGAGAGAGAGAGAGAGAGATAGAGAGAGAGTTGTTTCTGAAAAGTGCGGGAAGTTATTTTAGAAAGACTGAGATGAGGGAAAATGCAAATGGGAAAGAAA